CACCCAACAAAATACAGATTGGCTGCTTCACAGGCTTTTTGAGAAACAGATGTCGTAAAGAGGAGGATCTATCTGCCATAAAATCTTAAATGCAACTGCGGATTTTCTTAAGATGCCTAATGGAGCAGTACATTTCCTCCAGAACTTGGCTGGTGGAAACAAAGCCACGGTCTGAGGGTAAGAATAGAATATCTAAGAGGTTTAACATAGTTTGGTTTATTTGGAAATTATTAGAACACAATGTTCAAGTTTAGCAAGTAACCTAAAGTATTTAAAGAAGTCACAGACATATTTTTGGTTCACGTCTCTTGCAGCATCATCAGATCATTTACTTGCTTTTTACTATTTGCTTTCAGTTGCTGGTGTTTGTTGTTTTTCTTTCCACCTTTTCATTTCTCCATCCTTGCCTCTTTTCATCTTGATTTTATTGTCCCCTCTGCCCCCAGCTGCAGATCTCTCCCCTCTCTCGCTCTCTCTCTCTCTATTTTCTCCCACTCCCTCTGAGCGCGTGGCTGAGGTGTGAGATCATTCTCCTTCTGGGTGGCTTTCCTGCTATATGTCACTGTCATCTGTTGGCACTGAGGCTTGAGGGGGGGTCCCTTTTCCAAAAACACACCGCACTCCGCTTCACCACCCTGAGCATAATAAATTCTTGGGCACGAGACTGGAGAGGGGTGCTCCAACGAAGCAGCGTGTTTTACTGGGCTTGGCAGGATAACACATAGACCGGTGAGAGAGGGAAAACAGAGAGAAAGGGAGGGGGGCAGCAAAAAAAAAAAAAGGGTGGAAGATTTATAATTGAATAACTCCCCGAAGCAGGGCAGCGGGGATTGGCCCTGCCAGGAAAAGCAAACGCCAAGGAGCGAGCGAGGCCTGTGGAAGTCAGCCATTAAAGTGAGAGGAGAGAAAACCTCAGCTGTGATCTGCCTCAGTAGAAAGGTGCGAGATTTACTAATAATAACTGAAAAACCACAACACCTAAGCCTTTATATTCACCCAACTCTGATACTATAGCTGCACAAGTGGCCTTCTTGAAATACTAAAGCATGCACAAGTCAGTCTCTTGCAATCAGGTGTTCAGTTACACACTAAAAATCACTGCATCAGAACATTACAGGGTTAACTTTACACAGCACCGATGGCACCAATGGCTTGTTCTGACCCGGTGTTAAACAAGTTTTATTGCAAAACTGTCAAAAATGCAGAATGACATTCAAAAGTGCAAATGATGGATATATTATTAACAGTCTGGAAGAATTAGTGGTTTGTAAATCTTAAAAAGAGCTAGATTACAGGAGATGGCAATAATTTGCAACCATATCATCTTTTTGGGGGTAAATAACCCAACAGTAATATAAAAATAACACTGGTTCTAATTTTGACCTGAAATAAAAATGTACTCAGTAGAAAACCACCCAACACAAGGGGGTTATTTTGATCCAATAACACAACATAACATATAAAAATAAACACAAGCACTGGGGCAACCCATTGTTTTGGGTTTTCTACCCATGTGTACTGGGTAAAGTTAACAATAACAATAATATTGTTGAGAGTGTTGATGCTACATTGACCCAGAGATTTTTAGTGTCTAGGCAGCCCCCAAACTCATAAGAATATAAAACAGCAGGCTATAAGACAGGACAAATATTTAAAGGGAATTTATTCCAAATTATGCATTTCAAACTCTCTGCAACAACACAGACACGTTGTTTTTCCTGTCCTGACTGAACTTGCGGGGGTTGTCCCAGAATGCACCACTCTCCCTACTCGGGTCTCTGCTGTGTGAGCAGAAGGAGTGAAGGCAGCGAGGCAGGGTGCTCGACGAATGAGTTTATCTTGCCTGTTTGGCTTGGCATTTGTAAGTGGGGAATGAAAGCATGGTACAGCAGCGCTGTTAGGCATGAATGGAGTTCTGACCAAATCGACTCACTTTTCCCAGAGAAACGATCTCCACATCAGAGGGAGGTTATGACTTGTGATAACTCAGAACTGATAATCCACGTGGAACTGAGCAGAAACCCGGCAGTGGTGTAACATGGCACGCACCATTGACAGGTTGTCACATAAATGCCCATTCATCATGTCCACTTATGTGATGAATCACCTTAATATGACACTGAGTAAAGTTCTCTCCAGTGACATAGTCAATTTAAAACACCGTCTCCTTGTGTCAAATTCCAAGTTAACTTGGAGGCGACACTCAAAAAGATATATTGGAAAAAAGTATGGCCGAAAACAGGAAAATCTTGCTGCTAATCATTAAAAAAGAAGCTTTTACTCGTAATACAAGTGAGGATTTAATCAGCCGTGTCACACTCAATGACGCACAAAAGGAAAAAGGGAAAGTAAAAAGACTTGAAGCAGTGTACTGGCAACTTTTACCTCCTTCATGATGGAAAACTGATGTGCAGTCACAGCTACATACACACACACATACAC